AGAAGCTCATATTTTGATTTGAAACCCCATAACATTTTCCTGAGATGTTGATTTATGACAAACAATTTGTCAATTAGTCAGATTTAAATGATAATTACAAAATATGATCATATTTCCATTAGGGTGTTTCATTTGATCACTAAATGAATGTCAGCCATTTTTAAAGACCAAAGAGAGAGAGTGGTCATGGTGTAACATCCAATCATTTGGTATCTGAAAAGCCCTGAATGTGCTCTGTACAGGACATCCAGACTTAAAACTGTGCCATGTGAGGTCTCAGAGAAATCACTAAAACATAATGTCCTCTACAGTGGACAAAACTCCATAGCTGGTAGTCAGGAGGATAATCGCTGGGGTATATTTGCAGCAATAGCCAAAAATACATTGTATGGGTCAGAATTATAGATTTTTTTCTTTTATGCCAAAAATCATTAGGATATTAAGTAAAGATCATGTTCCATGAAGATATTTTGTAAATTTCCTACTGTAAATATATCAAAACTTATTTTTTGATTAGTAATATGCATTGCTAAGAACTTCATTTGGACAACTTTAAAGGCGATTTTCTCAATATTTTGATCTTTTTGCTCTTTCAGATTCCAGATTTTCAAATAGTTGCATCTCAGCCCAATATTGTCCTATCCTAACAAACCATACATCAATGGAAATCTTATTTATTCAGCTTGTAGATGATGTATAAATCTCAGTTTCAAGAAATTGACTCTTATGACTGGTTTTGTGGTCCAGGGTCACATTTGTGCTTACCATATAGTATGTTAATTAATTACTGGCAATTAAAAACAGCTACTAGTAACATAATAAACACTAAGCTAGTTAAGAGAGTCAAAAAGGCGTCTCGATGGACCTGCGTTATGTTCGACTTAAATATTGATATTATTTGAACGAGTCAGTCGTTTATTGTTATTTTACAAGAAGCAAACCTGATGTAGAAAAGTTGCTGCGAGTTGAAACTGAAATGAGGGCAGGCTTTGAGCTCTCGTGACGACAGTAGGCGTGTGTGTGTGTGCGTGTGTGTGTGAGTGATTTTAACACAGTATTTGTTTGTGTTGAAACTGTTAGGTTCCTTCAGTTCATCTGCAGTTGTCCGTGAATATGGCGCTTGTTTGGAGAAATATACTCATACTTGTGTTTGCGCACTTCGTTGGTGAGTAACTTTTAAATTTAGCATTAAATGTCTACACGACCAAACTATGTATAAGCCGTTTTGGCAGTATTCAGTGCTGCTGGAAGATCAATGCATGCTGTGTATTCATAGGCACAAAGTTAAACATTAAGTTCATAAGCTATGAGGTGGAGTTGTTTTCTTGAGCATTCCTTAGAGATTTTTTCCCCCTTAACCACAGGTTTAAAATAGATTTCTCCACCTGGAGTCTTACATTGCATAATATCTTCAAGTTAAAGGTCTACATAGCTACTGCACAGTTTACATTCAAAACACTCGGTATGGATTATTCACCTTTACACAGACTATCAGTATCATTATATTGGTAACTAATTAAGTGATTTAATAGCAAACATATGCTATTTTTAGTATGACCGCCAACATGCATAATAATGAACAAAACTGTTGAGGCAAATTATATAACTGCATTTTCACCTTAATTTTTGTTGTTGAGCTGTGCTTTGAAACTGTTTCAGTGTCTCATTTGTCTACTCGATGTGGCGAACCAACAAAGTATCCCGGCAAGCAGCTGCACAAAAGTTATCGCCATAAATTAAAGTTCTATGATGGAGAAAGAGTGATGTATACATGTCCCCCGGGTTACACACCATCAGAAGGAAGTCTAACATCACGGTGTCTGCGAGGACACTGGACAGCCTTGAACCTGAAATGCCAAAGTAAGATGCATCTGTTTATCTGTGTCTCTAAAATATCTCTTTTATTCATTCATTGTACTCCACGTTTTCATATTTTCTCATTTATTCTCACAGAGAAAAAGTGCAATGCGCTAGGTGACGTAGAGAATGGGCAGTACATTCGAGAAGGACAGTCATTTGGCGATAAAGCCATTGCTACGTGTAATAAAGGGTATTTTAACCTTATTTTCATTTTTTTTAAATGTCTGCAGTCCATAAATTGGTGAAAACATGGTTAATTGATAAATAGAGCAGGTAGAATAAGTGTAGAAATTTGCTTTTCTTTTTGACATGGTTCAGCATCCATAGATTGTTCTAGATCTCCTTCTACTAAATGGTTTACTAAAGCAGGCCAATAATGTTTCCCTTTCATGATGTTAATGTCGTTTTGCTCCTTAATATAATTAATTGTTTTCTCATGCAGATATGTTTTGAGAGGAGCAAGAGTTCGTATGTGTATGCAAAACGGCTGGAGGGGGACGGACCCCATCTGTGAGGGTGAGTTTAACCCTTTGTCATATTAAAATCATCACAAAAATGTACCTTAATTTTATTAAAACACTGCAACGTTTCTAACGGTCACAACCACATTCTATGTTTCCCTTTCATGATGTTAATGTCTTTTTGCTCCTTAATATAATTGTTTTCTCATGCAGATATGTTTTGAGAGGAGCAAGAGTTCGTATGTGTATGCAAAACGGCTGGAGTGGGACGGACCCCATCTGTGAGGGTGAGTTTAACCCTTTGTCATATTAAAATCATCACAAAAATGTACCTTAATTTTATTAAAACACTGCAACGTTTCTAACGGTCACAACCACATTCTCATCAGAATACAATTATATCTTCTAAAAACCATAAACTATGAAAAAGTGTGATGCAGGAGCCATTTCAACAGACACTTACAGTGTATTAGATGTAAGAGGATTGTATGGCGGTAAATCCCTCTAAATCAGAGGTGGGTTTTCCGAGATTTGTAGAACTGGCTCTGCAGCGTAATGTCGCCCTCTAGTGGTTGATTCCTGTAATCAGATGTCATGATTTTGGCACAATCAGTTGTTTTTTTTCTTCTGGCTTCTAGTGTCGAAGATCATGTGTTTAGCACCTGCTGTGGCAAACAGATGGATAAAACCTGGAGAAAGGACACAGTACACACCCCAAGACACTGCAACCATTGTCTGCAGTGAGGGATTTGTACTGACTGGCTCGCCACAGGTCACATGTGGACCAGACGGCCAATGGCAGGGCTTGCCTGCGTGCCGCTCGAAAGGTAATTTATGTTGTTTTCACACTTGGTTTGAATACTTAGTCTGAACCTGATTTCAAATCCACTTCTTTCTCCAATGATGCATTTCAAGAGATACAAAGAATGAATGCTGCTCACTAAAAGCAGTTTCTTTGCGCTAAACTTCTAACTCTACCCAGCTGGCACCGGATGTCAATTTAACCACAAATGTGTTGGATTCCAGCATTGGACAGATGTTGAATTTTGGTTGGAAATGAAAACTGGGTTGATGCCAAAACCCAATGTTGGATTTACTTAGACTTCTAACATTGGACAGGCATTGAGTTTTGATTTGAAATGAAAATCGCGTTGATGTAAAAACCCAATGATGGATTTATATCAACTTCCATTGAGTTTTGGTTGGAAATAAAAATTGGGTTGATGTCAAAACTCAGTGTTGGAGAGACGTCGCATTTTGGTTTGAAAAAAATGGACAGACATTGACTTTTGATTCAAAATGAAAATCGGGTTGACGTCAAAACCCAGCGTTGGATTTATATCAACTTCCACCATTGGACAGATATTGAGTTTTGGTTAGAATTAAGAAATGGTTGATATTAAAACTTCCACCGTTGGACAGATATTGAGTTTTGGTTAGAAATAAGAAATGGTTGACATTAAAACTTCCACCGTTGGACAGATATTTAGTTTTGGTTAGAATTAAGAAATGGTTGACATTAAAACTTCCACCGTTGGACAGATATTGAGTTTTGGTTAGAATTAAGAAATGGTTGACATTAAGGGGCCGTTTACATGACAACGTTTTCAGCCAAAAACGGAAAACTTTTTATGCGTTTTGCCTGTTCGTTTACATGACAATGGCGTTTTGGGGACTGAAAATTCATATTTTTGAAAACAGGTTTCAAAGTGCAAGCATTGTTGCCAACTGCTTTCAATTGAAAGTAGCTAAAACTGGTAGCTAAATGTCACTAATGACATCATAATGGCAAATTCACTGATCTATATAAAGATGAATGTTGATCAGTGGGCAAGATGAGAACTTAGATAAGGTCTGTCCAAGAAGTTGCAATATTTGTCCCTAAGCTTTTGAAAAAGTCTCAAAAGGGGCGAAGTCGCTAAATCTAGCTACAAAGTAGCTAAATTGGCAACACTGAGTGCAAGTTTATGAAAACGCCACCGTTATCATTTCAGTGTAAACACCCAAAACAAGAATCTTTGAAAACTGTGAAGTCATGCGCGTGCGCAGTACGTGTTAGGTATGTAGACATGTGCAGTACGTGTCGATTTAAAGGCAAGCGCGAACAAACATAAACAACAATGGCGGAGTACATGGTACTGTTGTTGCTGTTTAAGAGTTTGCTAACGCTTCTTCAGCAAAGTGTGGATTTACTTCACCAATATTACAACCAACAGTGGAGACGCATCATATACAACATATAATCGTCACTTCCCTACAGGTACTGTTTACTAACAAGGTGACAGCGCCAACTACTGGCCTGGCATTAGGGGTGTGCGATATTGACAAAAAATTTTATCTCGATATTTTCTGGGATTTTATCGATAACGATAATTAGACGATATTTTGCTGAGTGTGTTATTGTGCTGGTACCTTAAGGACTGCTGAAGACAGCTGACTCCTAATGTTTTTAATATTCTTCATATTCTGTGTGGTGGTCAGTTCATACTGATAGAAATTAATCTTTTCCAATAAGTTTAAACTGATTT